CACTCTTTCTCCTTGGAGCTATTAACCTGAAGTTGTTTGTTGCTACATCTTGCTCATTCTCCTCATGCTCCCTACATGGAAGATCATTTGGTAAAGGAGAGAATGAGGCAAACACACAGAGAGGAGCAGAAGAGAAATGGAGAGAGTCCCACCCATATTCTTTCAGTCTCTGGAGGCCTTGAACTTCTCAGATACTTGAACAAATAAATTTCACTTCCCAAACATTTAAAAAAATCTAAGCTAGTTTGAGTTGGCCATGGTATAGTTGCCACCTAAAGAGCCCTAAATGCTGCCCAATGAAGGCGGCATATGACAATGAATTTCCTAATTTACCTGTGAGCCAGGTTCTCCAGGGGCACCTTTTTCTGATCCGTAAGAGTCTCCTGGTGGTCCCTGTATTAATGAGAGTTATGTCAAGTTTTACAAATTATTGATTTTTGACTTACATTGATTTTTATTTGCCTTCCCCTTCTGATTATTCTGCTACATTTAAAAATATTGAAATGATGGGTAGTCTAAGAGGGAAGTCTTATTTATGAGTATTAATTAATTAATTAAAAAACAGATGCTAAAAAAACCAGATACTGAAGATAAATTCTAAGATGGGTGAAACAGTGCTAGGATTTCAGCTAGAAGTGGTCATAAAATAATTTCTATGTTCATGACCTCTGTGGTAAAATACTATTGATCTTCAATTAATCTTAAGATTTGAAGATAGGTCAGACATCAAAATGTTCACTAAGGTTTTAGTTTGTCTTTCAAAGGAACAATATGACTCAAAATGACCTACTCTGGGTCCAGGAGGTCCAGGTTGGCCCATGGCGCCTTTTTCTCCCTTCTCCCCTTTGAGTTCCTGCCACAAAAACAATTTAAGGTCATTACAAACAGATTAAACAAGATTTTACTGCTTATACTTGAAAACGTCCTCTATCTGTTCAATACACTGGATTTACAGAATACCTATGTACTTCCTGTTAACATGACACAGTATCATTTTTCACACTTTGAATTTTATACTTATGAACCCACTGAAGTCATATACTATTTTTTTAAAATAAAGTATCTTTTTTTAAATCAAACTACATTGAATCAGCTTTCTATAAGCACAATCACATCATTTCTAATGTATTTTACCTTCATCTTTAATATATTGAAAAGATTTTTAATTGCGGTCAATTATTTTCTGAGTAAATGTTACAAGAAGAATTTGATTTATTAATCACGTTTGTTTTTGCTATAATCATGTTTTATTGATTATTTTTTTTCCAATGTGAATCTTCTCTTGAGGGCATCATTTCCTTCAAACTCATTTCCTCCACCCTGGGTGATATCTTTCAGATTTAGATTTTTGTCAGGATAAGGTATTTTTTCCTATCAATTTTCAGCCAATAAAAATTTAAAATTTATTAATTTTATTTTTGTTAATTACCTCTAGAAAATTTAGTTTTTTCCTTTTAGGTCAATTCCCCTTCTACACCCAGTCTTTGAGGTGAATTGTTTATTTTTTTTCATATTATATTTTACTATGTTTTGTTTTACCTTTTGATTTGAAAATTTCTATTATTAAAAATTATATTGGAGAGTGATGGCTAAGGGGTTTCTCTTTGGTGTGATGCAAATGTTCTAATTAAATGTGGTAATAGTTGTGAAACTCTATGAATATACTGAAGCCATTGAATTATACACTAAATAAGTCATTTTATGGTCTTGACTTATATCTAATACAGCTGTTAAAATTCATTATTACTAAAACCCATGAATTGAATAAAGAAGATGAATTTTATGGCATGCGAATTATATCTCAATCAAGCTATTATTAAAAGACAATGAATTATAAGTTTATAAGATAAGAGTATGTTATGCTTATTTCTTAGTTAATCCACTAGAAAATTATTAGCTACCTCCTTGCTTCTCCATCCCCCTTCCCAGATATTCCAGGATCAACCTAGTGTCAGGATTGGTGTATGATATTGTGGTGCACTTCTGAGCACTTGATTCAGCTCTGTACTCTGAAAGCAAATGTTAATGTCCAAATACAAGACTATATAGTGTCCTTGGAGAGGAATGGGGCCCAAATTATCCTTGGGATTATGATGGCAGGATAAAATATCCTTTATAATTATGACACCCTTCCATCCATATCTTTAGGTTCTCCCCATCCAATTGGCTCAGAGCTGCACACCCAATCTGTAATAATTTATTCAAAAATACTCACTAAATACCCACTCTGTGTTAGTGACAATGAGAAAGACTGAGTAAAGGGTGAGCAAAAATGGCCCTGGGCTCTACCCTTCAAGAATCTTGGCAGTTGCTTGCTTCAGATTTCACATTTCCTGGTTCATGAGTATAAAATAGGGAAGGAATAAAACCTTGAGGCTCAGTAAGGCTGAGGGGACTGGGCTGAGCTGGGATTAGGTGACAGAACTTATTAAAAAACAAGGTAAGAGAAATAGAAAGGCACACCCCTAATAATAAAATTGAAGAGTTACCGTTACGTTATCTGGGCCAGTCTGTGTCACAATAACAGTTCCTGGTGGTCCAGGAGGTCCTATTAATCCTTTCACACCCTAAAGATAAATATACTCAAGAATTAAAAAGGAAACGACATTATCTTTACTATGTTTGAGAGAGATACTTTTCCCCATTAGTGCTCTTGTAAGAAAACAGCAAATGAAAGTTTGAGACACAACAAATGCATTCATGTATAGCTGATTGCTATGGAACTTCAAATATATTGCCCACAAATAAACCATAGTATTTAAATTACCCGTTCTCCTTTTTGTCCAATCACATTATCACCCATGTGACCCTGTAAGAAATACAAAACCAAATTATTTTTTTAAAAGGAATACGAATACATTTTCTAAACCCTTTGAAGTTCTAATATTTGTAACTGAACACTTATATTTTAACTTTTCCCCACAGGGTCACAATTGTTATTTTATTTAATCTTGGAATAATGTATTCTTTTTTAAAAATTAAAGTATAGTTGATATATAATATTATATGTTTCAGGCATACACATAATGACTCTACATTTATATACCTTACGAGGTAATCGCTACAATAAATCTAGAACCATCTGTCACCGTACAAAATTGTTATGATATTACTAACTCTGTACATTATATTCCCATATCTTAATTATTTTGTAACAAGAAGTTTGTACTTTATATTCCCCTTTACTGTTTTCACCCTCATCCCACCCCTCTAGCAACGCTCAGTTTGTTCTCTGTAGCTGTGAGTCTGTTTCTGGTTGTTTTTTTTTTGTTATTTGTTCATTTGTTTTGTTTTTTAGATTCTGCATATAAGTGAAATCATACAGTATTTGTCTTTCTCTGTCTGGCTTATTTCACAAAGCATAAACCCTCTAGGTCCATCCATGTTGTTGCAAATGGAGAGATTTCATTCTTTTTTATCGATGAATAATATTCCATTTATCTGCTCTTCTTTATCCACTTATTTATATATGCACACCTATGTTGCTTCCATATCTTGGCTATTGTAAATAATGTTGCAATGGGGTGCATATATTTTTTGATTTAGTGATTTCATTTTTTTCAGATAAATGCCCAGAACTAGAATTGCTGAATCACATGGTAGCTCTATTTTTAATTTTTTAGGAACCTCCATACTATAATGCCTGCACCAATCTGCATTCCCAACAGTACACAAGGGTTTCCGTCTGTCCACATCCTCAACAACATTTGTTATTTATTGATTTTATTTTTTTTAATAATAGTTATACTGACCCATGTGTGGAATCAGACCAGGTTTGGCTTTCTCATTGGGTAGGATGTGATGGCTGATATGACCTATGAATTGTAATTTACCTTAAGTCCTGGAGACCCCATGGTTCCTGGCAAGCCCTAAAAAAATCCACAAATTATAATTACAGTGAGAAATGCACCAAGCCAGAAAACTGTTTAAATGTTTTAGCTACAACTCTTTAATTAGTTTATAGCGTCTACAGCAATGACAACTTAATACTTACAAAGAATCCCGGAGGGCCAGGTGGGCCCACAGGTCCAGGAAAACCTGGGAGGCCCGGCAAACCCTTCAAAATAAGAGACAAATAAGAAGAGTAAGTGTACTACTCACCTACAGACAATGCCCATTAGTTAAGTGAATTAAAATATTTTAATAAGGCTAGAGGAGCATGACACCTTCCATTTATGGCTGCAGTTTAAGTTATCCACTATCATGCAAATTTTATGATAGAACTATTACTTAACATTACAGTTTTAAATTGTGTTCAGTGTGCGATACAAGTCTAGCCTTGGGTTTTAACAAATACGGAATAAGTGGAACCTAACTTTTCCTTGGAGATTCCACCTTAGATGTAGGAAATTTGGGTCACTGAGACTTGAAAAGATGAAAAGACATGTACAAATCATCTTTTTACATCAGCTTCATCAGCTTCTTACAAGGTGAATGTTTTAGAATGAAATAAGGTGCATATATAAGTAGAAGAAATTGTATATTAAAAATGTTCTTAGGAGAGTAAGAAGGAAATATAGGGAAAGAAATTGTATATTAAAAATGTTCTTAGGAGAGTGAGAAAGAAATATAGGGGAAAAGAAAGAGGAGAGAGAGAGAGAGAGAGAGAGAGAGAGAGAGAGAGAGAGAAGGACACACACACACACACACACACACAACAGAGAGGGGGCACAGAGGATGGTAGGACTGCTCTCTGAAGTGCATGTACCTGGAATCCTGGAGCTCCTGGCAGCCCGGGATCCCCTTTTCCATCATATTCTACATCTTCTCCTGCAGCAGGAGCTCCCTTGAAAATGAAGTTCATTGAACATAATCAATGTTATATCTTTAAAACCCCTTTACATGCTTATTCAGGGTCATGCCACTTCAAGGATAAAAATGCTTTCCAGTGTGAATGATAAAGGGGCTATGTAACAACCTGATAGGCTCAGTGACCAAAGTAACCACACAGATGGTCTGTTCACAAATTCTGAACTGCAGGTCACCTCCCAGGCCTATAGCTTCCTTAGCAAAGGTCAGTTTTTACCTTAAGTGAGCCCTGTCCCTGTTCTTATGCATCGAAGATGATATACCTTTGAAATGTCAGTCATTTTCTTTTCTAGACCCCTGAAGGCACAACTGCTGACACTAGAGTGTGAGATCATAAGCCCCTCATTGTCATCCTGTTGCCCAATACCATCTCCATGTGCTGTAGATGTTAAGTCTCCTGTACCCATCCATGTGAAAGAAGTTTCTCTATTTTGTTTTGTGTCCAATTTTAGGGATTCCCTTGTTTTGCTTTTTCCCAGTCCCTTAATCTACCACCAATGGGTTTCATGTACCTTCCTTATGTCTCCTCCCTTTATTCTAAATTCATAAAAGAAACTGCAAAACTGCCTTCTCTGCAGCATTTTTTTAATCCTTTGAGAGCTTGCTCTGGGCATGGTCTCAAAAATTTGGCTCAAACTCTCACAAAACTTTTCTATAGGTTTGAATGTTCTTTCATTGATACTAGGGTATATACTTAGAGAAATGGCTTAGTTATCTCATTTTGAAGAATTCACAGCATTTTCATAGTTTCTAAAATTAAAAATTTACTGTCCAAGTAAGGAAAGAAGACACAAGGATGATAACGGGTTTCCCAAGATACCAGAATTGGTGGCAATTCTGGATGTGGAATGTGGGTCCTGGCCTCAAGGCCAGCTCTTTTCTCCCAGACTCTATTTCCTTAAAGGATGAAATGAAACTTGTATACTTATGACGAGAGATAGAAGAAGTTGTTCAATAGAAATAAATATGATATCTCAAGTAGTATGGATACTGGATTAATGATGCAATCTCATTTTTAATTTTTATATCTCATTATTTAATAGAAGTCCCTTTCATATGTACAATTAGAGATGTTCAATAATAACATACCACAGATGTCTTACCTTTTCTCCTTTTAAGCCAATGGCACCCTAGGAAAGAAAGTGGCATATTTACCACTAGACACAAATCGAGTAAACAACATCCCACTTTTCCCTCTGTTCTACCTTCTCCCTCTACTGTGTACTTCCTGCTGCCTTTACAACATGCTCAAGTCACTCTCATTTGGACAAAGTCTACCATATATCTTCCTCTCCCCCGCAGTAGTGCCCTTCTCTTCATGTCATCTGCATACTCCTGCTCTGTTCATCTCTGACTCATTCTTCAGTCCCACAGCTGCCACCTACCTCTCTCCAAGATGGACGTCTCCCTTGCTAAGTTCTGCCATGACTTTGACATTGCTAAAGCCGATGATAAAATGTCAGTTTCTCTCTTACTGGACTTCTCAGCGGCATTAGGCAGCTGTCTGTCTGTCACTGCCCTCTACTGAAACACGTCTTTCCTGCCCTTCCATCATACATGCCTCCTGGTCTCCTTCTACCACTAGGGTCATGCTTTCTTCACAGGTTTATTCTCCTTGACGTAGAGGTCACATGCTGGAGCTCTTTAAGTCCTGGTTCTAAGCCACCCTCCTACCCCACACTCTCACTGTTTGAGTCACCCCTTCCCAGTCTCTCCTCTGCCTACTACTCAGCTCCACTGTATTCCTTTAAATCACAAAAAAGTCTCAACGTGTAAACCGGAACTCATAAATCATTTGTTCATTCATTCCCCAACTATCAGTTTAGTGTTTACTATTGGCTGCACCAGACATCCCCATGATGGATTTCAATACACGGCCATTCTGGACTAAACCACTTACATTTCACTTAATGTTTCTGATGAGGGAAATGAAAACCTACCGGGACCCCTGGGTAGCCTGGTGTCCCTGGAAATCCTGGGAAACCTTGTTCACCCTGAAAGAAAGACCATACAAAACTTGTCATTCTTCTTACTTGTTCTAAAACAGCCTATTGAGATATTTTCCCTGTTTCTCTCTTCCAACCCTGCAGTGGTAAAGCTAGACAAAGTAACCAAAGTGCCTTATGGATACTGGGCCATGAGTCTGAAGGCCAGAAAACCATTATTTTAATTGAAAACAGGATTAAAATCTACTGTTTCTCAAATTGTGCATAAATGGTGAAAGCTTAATTGTGTCAAGAACTGTTTAATTGCTGTTTCCTTGAAACCTCAGTGATTAGTTCTTTCCTGGCCACCACTCTAGGAAGAGGAGTGGGCAGTCAGGAAACCAAGGAGATGAATGAACATAGGAAAGCTCAGTCCTTCTTCTCCAAAGACATATCTTGCATTCCCAGCTTGAGTTTCTGATTTATATACACTCACAACCTCAGGTGAAAATAACTTGTTATCTTTCTGTGTGCAAATAGGAAAGGACTTCCTCAAAAGACAATCAGAGCCCTGGCCGGTTTGGCTCAGTGGATAGAGTGTCGGCCTGCGGACTGAGGATCGATTCCAGTCAAGGGCATGTACCTTGGTTGCAGGCAAATCTTCAGTAGGAGGTGTGTAGGAGGCAGCTAATCAATGTTTCTCTCTCATCGATGTTTCTAACTCTATCCCTCTCCCTTCCTCTCTGTAAAAAATGAATAAAATATATATTTTTTAAAAAAAAGACAATAAAAAACCAAGGCATAGGAAAAAAGGAAATAGGTAGGTTCCTGGTTCAAAAGCCACATTTCTGCCCTGAAGACAAGTACCATTGGTTCTGGTTAAAAGAATGTTTCCAGGAAAGTCTAGCCCATCTCATTGCTACTTCAGCTTAATTAAGTCATTCAGCAAAACACTGACTGATCAAGTCCTGTGTAAGAAGTACATACCTTAGAACCATTGCATCCTGGTAAGCCAGCAGGACCGTAAGGTCCAGGATAGCCGGGGCTGCCCTGAAAACAGAGTAAGTTTCAAAAAGGAGAAGCAACCAGGCCGTGGGACCAGGTGGAAACAGCGAGGAAGCCAATGTGAGGGAAATGAGGGGCTAATTTAGATAGTTATTTAGATATAAATGATTATTTAAATATTTAAGCAGTAAATATAGTCATTTTAGAAAATAATTTAAACAAAAATAGGAAATAAAATGGGCTAATTAAAACAAAGAATTATCAAGTGAGGTACAGATATTGTAAATAAAACAAAAGGCCTTTCTATATAACATGAAATCCCTTAACATGCTGTTCTAAGCTGGGGGAAAGGAAAGGAAAAAGAAGAGGGAAATGTGCTCAGAGGTAACTATTTTATAATTATACTAGAGGCCCGGTGCACAAAAATTTGTGCACTGGCGGGGGAGGGGAGGTGAGGAGGGTGTCCCTCAGCCCCACTTGTGCCCTTTCACAGTCTGGAATCCCTTGGGAGATTACCACTTGCTGGCTTAGGCCCGCTCCCTGGGTGGCAGATGGCAGGCCTGATCCCTCAGTGCCTGCCCCGCCTCCCCAGGTCGCGCACACGGCAGGGCCAATCCGGGGTTTGGGGCACTGCCCCGGGTTGGGTTGCACATGGGACGCCTGGGTGGGCCGGCGGATCGCTGCTGCCCCACCTGGCTGCCCCGGATTGGGTCGTACACGGGATATCCGTATGGAGGCCGGGTGGGCTGGCCGATTGCTGCTGCACTGCCCAGCCGCCCTGGGTCGGGTCACACACAGACGCCTGCCACCGGGTCACAGATAGCAGGCCCAGATGGCAGCAGGGCTGACGGGATGGTGCTGTCCCGCCCTGCCCGCAGTATGCAAATTAGCCACCATCTTTGTTGGCAGTTAATTTGCATATCATGCTGATTAGCCAATGGGAGGTGTAGCGAAGGTACAGCCAATTACCATGTTTGTCTATTATTAGATAGGATGTTATTAAGCAGTTGTTCTATTCTATTTTTTCTATTCTATTTTTCTATTCTAGTCTAATCTTCTGTTTTATTCTTCTATTCTATTATTCTATTCTAGTCTATTCTAGTTTTTCAGGGAATACAATTTTATTTGTATGAGCTACCAATCCACATTAACATATTATGCTATTCTATTGTGCCATTTTCATCATGTAGCAAATTTATCGATACCTATTTCCTTGTGCTATTGATTTAACATCTTTATTAAAATGAGCTTACTTTTTATTTTTTCAGTTACACATTTTCCCCATTACTTACTGGAAGTCCAGGAGGACCTGAAAATCCTGGTAATCCAGATATTCCCTGAAGGCATAGAAAAGGGAAGGGTGGCAAGAAAAACACTTGAAAGGTTCAACTTAAAAACAGAAAATTATTTACCATTCCAATAGCCCCCTCCTGCAATTATAATTTGGAGTGGCTAGAAACTACTTAAAACACAAAAAAAAGGTTTGTCAAACTTTTGTAAATCTTACATTTATATCAATTTTAAAAAGAGATTATTACAATTGTTTTAGGCTTTTGGGGGTAGACTTTAAAGGTGTAAATTGATTAGAGTCCAGTGCTCTAATATTCCATGAACACCAATACATGCGTGTGTACACATTGGTGTTATCAACGCCCAGTCCAGACACAGACATCACTCCAGATGGTTCTCTCATGCCTTTTCCATCAGTTAGCACCAACCCCACATAGTCACCACTATCTTGTGACTTGTACCATTATAATTTTACCTGTTCTTGAACTTCATGTATAGAAATGCACCATAAACAATGTACTCCTTCATGATATTTGTATAACTTCTACACTGCAATACTTTAAAAAAAAAAAAAGAATTCATTAAGCAATCAGGTTGGACTACTAACCCTTGCACCTTTGGGACCAGTGAGTCCTGGACATCCTGGAGCGCCCTAGATCCAAGTGGAAAACAAAAGTAAATACCAAGACAATTATTTGGCATCCCCAAACCCCATAAATGAAAGGTCCAAGTTTTATTGACATCTCAAAGAGTTTTGCTCATGTGATTATTTCATCGTTAACATGGTTCACTTACTTGCTTGTTTCATTGGAGCTAAAATATTTACCAGTAAGGATAGACAGAGAAATTTTCATTCAAACCCTGGCTACTGAAAGTAAGGGTCTAACATTGGCATCATCTGGGAGCTTGTTAGAAAAGCAGAATCTCAGGGCCCCCACCTCCCAGACCTATTGATTCAGATTCTGCATCTCAGCAAGGTGCAGTGATGATTCCTGTTCACATCAGTGTCTGACAAGTTCTGCTGTACACCCGCCCTGGAGCTGCCAGCTGCTGAGGTCTGATAAGAATGAGCGACAGTTGCAAAGGTGGCTGAGCACGGCAGCCAATATTTCTGTGCGTGAGAAATACTTCATTAACAAAATGTACCTGCCATGCACAGATAAATACTCAGCCAGGCAAGGACTGCCTGAATCAGAGATAAGCTTGCTTTGGGCGCATACTGAGCACAGTTTTGAGGCCCTGGTTTCTTAGAAAATAATAACCTTAGATGGATACTATTTTAACTAGACCACTGGGTGGGAAAGTTCCATTGTCCAAAAGCTGTTTCATCATTCCTGGGAGTTTCAGTATGTTTTTTTATTTCGGGAAAGGGGTTACAGAGTCTTCTGAGATTGGATGGTCAAGGCCACAGTCAGCCTTTCCTGGATGAGGTGAAATTCCTGGCTACATGACCATGCCCCCTTCTCTGCAGGATGCTATCTGTGTTTGCAGAAGGCAGAGGAGGGACTTGCAGGTTTCACTTCCCCGTTGTAAATATTCTCATGCAAAACAATATTTAAAAGTAAGGTAGGAAGTTTATACGTTTGAAAAATCTTTTGGTCAGGTTTTGATATCTTTGTCTGCCTTGGATCAAATTATCTTGTGCAGCCACATCTACAAGCTGTGCTTTAAAATATGAACTCCATGTCAACGTGGCACATGGTTTTTCTGAATTAGCTTTACGGAATCCTTGCACATCATTGAACTCTGAGCACCATATGTTCAGAACCTTCATTTTAATGTATTGTTAGCATCATTAAAGAAATGCTGAGAGAAACAAGCAGAGTACAGAGAACAAAACGAAAAGGAAAGAGTTAGAATTTAGCTGATCTGATGTATAGGGTTGAAGTGGCCAATTCATTCTGCCAGCGAAATGGAGGAAAATATGAGGTCACACCCATGAGGGAGGCCACAGAATGTATCCAAATTCAGGCGTAGAATGTCCAGAATCCAAATGACTCTTCCAAAATTAGGATCACACGAAGGAGAAATGGAGAAACAACGCATACAGGGATAGACAGGAAATGGTGGAGTTTTTGGAGAACAAGCCATCTTTGCATTTTTACTTGGAAACTACAGATGTGGGTTTAGCTTCTTTGGTTAAGGAGGTTGATCCTGGCATTGTATAAAAGCAGCCACCTGTTGGCTGTGTAACCAGGACAAATTACTTAAGTGCTCTGAGTGTTGGCTTCCTCATCCATAAAATGGAGACAGTAATGAGAACTAGAATATGAGTCTCCATCATGATTTCTAGAACCACTGTGAAATGTAAATGAGGTATAGTCAGGAATACACGGTCTAGTGCTGACACAGAGTAAATTTTCAGTAAATATTGCCCTTGATGACCATGTCAATATCCTATAACAATATTTATGAAATTTAAAAAAACTGTGTGGAGATCAATTGTGATTGTCTTTCATAACTTACTGGTTAGTTCATAGTTTGCTGGAGACCAGCAGTCAGGGTTGTGACCATGGGAGTGTGTGAGAGCCTAGGCTTATGTCTGACTAATGTCCACGGCAGGAAAGAGCCATGAGCAATCTAGTAGTTATGAGTTCTTTAGCAAATCCTCTAGGGCACCGATTTAAGCAAAAGCCCTTTGTTTTATCACAGACTTTAGAATAAAAATGTGTGACCAGTGTGAAAAGCAGGAGGTCAGAACGTGGGGTCCCTGATGTTTAAGGGAAGAGTTGAGAAAAAGGAACCCAAGAAAGACAGGAAGGGCGGGAAGCAAGAAGAGAGTCAGAAACAAAGACTGAGTTTCGAGGAGAAGAGAGCAATCCACTCCGTGATCTCTGAGACAAAGCAGAGGGGTCCAGGTCAGACAAAGACACAGAAGTATCCATTGGCACTGGTCACTTGGAGTCATGGGTGATCTCTGCAAGAGTGTTGTCAGGAGAGAGGGGGCCCAAGGCAATTATCACCTGCTGAGGAGTGAATGGAGATGAACTATAGCCAGCCTGGTTAGTTATTTTTTAAAGAAGTTTGACAGAAAGGAAAGACAGGGAAAAGATGGCAATCCTTTGGTCACTGTACCTGTAAGGTCTAGAGGATTTTTATATTAATATGGGGAAATATTGGTATGTTTAAGGACTGAAAGAGAAAGGCCAACATCAAAAGGAACGTTAGAATATCCCAAGACAAAGGAGGTATCTCTTGGAATAAGGTTATACTTGTAATTCCAGTGAGCAGGATACAGTGTGTGTGTGTATGTGTGTGTGTGTGTGTGGGGGGGGGTGTTGGTCCTGAATGGCAGGTGAAAAGAACTCATCTTTCCATGTAAAAGAGAAGAAAGTAGGAGCTGATGCAGACGCAGAAGCTGTGTAGATTGGAGGAGGAAGTTGAGTAGGGGATTTGAAGATAATAATGATCATTTGCGATGGTCTTGGTCGAGGATGCAGTTGTGAGGGTAAGCAGGAATTTGCCATCGGCTAAGATATGGAATTCTCTCCATGTTCTCAGGAGCCCAGAGGGTAGGCATAAAGAAGGTGGGTGGGCTGAGTATTCCTCAACCTTGCAGGCTGATGTACCTTGGGTCCCTGTGGTCCAGGTGAGCCTTCAGGACCTGGGAATCCCTTCAGGCCAGGAGAACCAGGGGGTCCGGGAAGACCTTTCTCTCCCTATTAAAATGAAAACAAGAGGAGAAACACACAGAACAGAAAGTCTTCAACAACATACACAGCCTTGACCATTATTTTTCCCCCGTTAGGAGTTGATAACGTTTTTTCATATTTCCCCCCTTAGATGTAAACAAAAATCAGCCCTCAGCAGTGAGGGGGTCAGTAACTGAAAAGCTGCCGGCTATTAGCATTGTCTATAGGCTTGGAAGTGCTGGCCCTTGATCTGTAAGAACTTTAGCCCAAATGGCAGAGTTAACTGAACAGGGAAAGAAAAATAAAATCCAGAATGAAGGGGAAACCCAGTTAGAAAGATTGAGGTCAGTAATGTGTTTGTTGAGAGATGGAGAGAGTGAGGACAAGGCCCAGGAATGCTGTTGGGAGTGTACATAACTGGTCTGTAGCTTGCAAAGAACAACATGCAGGCAGTGGGTCTTAGTTCTTTCTTGATTACAGAGGAATTCGTAATTCAATATGATATTTGTGCAAGAGATATGTCAAGGGTGGCATAAGTATCTGTGTGAGCTAAATAGTTTTATTTTTTAGAAAGAGTCAGATGATATGGGAAAGCCCCTAGTAATGAGTGAGTGTAAGTAATTTAGGCCCAATGTGTTACATGGTTCTCTGCCAACAAAGAATCTTCCCATGGAAGTGGATCCTGGACTTACTCTTTAACAGTGAAGGCCACCAGTTAATTCGGCCAATTTAGTTACACAATTGGCAAATTATATTTTTAAAGAGAGAGTGTGAGAGAGAGAGAGAGCATACACCCAATAAAAAGAGAAATAAAAGAATTTGCTAGACCCTCTCAATACTCAAGTTCCTTCATACATCCTAGAATAGCATCTTGAACACAGTAGGGATTCAATACTGCTTCTAGAATGTGAGAATGAATCATAGTTTCCATCATGAATCTGAGTATAATAGCTTCTGGGAAAAAATCCTAAATCAACTACACATGAATTTTAAAATAATTTAAAATAAATATAATAATAGCTACTATAGTGATCATAAATTATATGCAACTTATTTTCTAGAGAGCTTAAAATATATTCTTTTCAAAATATTCTAAGCAGTCACCTTTCAATATTGTTAAGTAAATCATTAGTGTATCTGAGGAAAGGGTTTTGTGAACAAAGACACAACTTTAGTTCTGCCTCTGTCTTAATGATCACAGATTGCAAGTTAATGGAGCGAATTAATGAGATTTCACCGCATTCCCTCCTCCCCCAGCCCCCTTGAATTCTGCAATGGAGCCACTTCCCTCTGCTAAATGTTTGCCTCAAGTAGAGCGCTGCTACAGGATCCTTCCACCAGGGGGCGGGCCTGCATCAACACCGAAGGACTTAAAATTTGAGCGCTTCAATGTTTAGTTTGTGTCTAAGTGAGTGAATTCAGTTATTTCCAGTTGTTCTCTCGTGGTTAGCAAAATTGTAAATAGGGTGTACATCAACTTTCCTTTTCGCTAACTGGCCATTTCTCCTTGACAGGCCAAGAGAGTTAAAAAACCACCGCCTGTATTTACACAAGTTATCTGAAGCTCCTCTAAGGCCCGCCCCACCCCCACCCCCCTTTTTTTTCAGGTTAACTTTTACATACAATTACTTAACATTGGATTTCGGGAATGGAAGAACACACTGCTGACCTTCCCGCCCTTAATGAAAGAAGAGTGTGAGCTCCAGGATGAGCTCCAAAGAGAAAAGAAGCCAAATTAAGGTTTTACGTTTACCTTCTCCCCTTTGGTCCCACTGCAGAAGCACTGGCCTTTGTCCGTGCAGACACAGCCCTAGGAAGAGGGGAAGAGACAGGGTTTTGGGTGAAAACAGCTTAGTAAGTTCCAACTGACTGGGTAAAGCAAACATAGTTTTCTATTCTTAGAGCGTTGAACACTGATCGTTAGAAGTGATGAGATGCTGTGGCAATGTATCAATAGAAATAGAGTAGATAAGGGTGAAGCTGCTGCATATGGAAGAACTGTCAGGTGAATATACATCATTCTCATGGTATTTAAGAATTTTAAGAAATTTATTCATGGAAAAAAGCCAACTGTCCTTTTTTTTTTTTTTAACAATATATAGTTGAATCATATGAGATTGCCATTGTTGTAGGTAGAACGTGGTCTGATATTGGCAAGTGTTGTAAGTTCAGCATAATGTACATGTATGTATTTGGGTATATTAATTGGTGGCATCTTCTGAGGTTGATTCTAAGGTTTTCTTTTCTTGAAATAATTCAAGACGGAGAAAAGATGATCAATACCCACGATGTGTCTTTAAAGAGAAAAACAAACTAATTCACTAATGCTAATATCAAAGTGTTCTTATTGAAAAACAAAAACTGAACTGTGAGTTTGGCTCTTACCTCCCTAACGAGTCACCTTGACACACAACCCCAGCTTTCACACGTATGCACATGCCAGTTCTGATGAAGGCCAGCAGAGGAACAAAAGAGAAATAATTTCATCTAGTGAATTTAAAATTTGTTTTGATACACATTCTATGGTTACATATTTATCTTTCTTCTTTGGGTTAATATTAAAATGCGTTCTCTTCCCTTATACTGCCCCCACCCCCTCAAAAAAAATAACTGACAGCAGCAGCTGGGCAAGGGTAGGCGATGTGCTGACTGGGAAGAAAATTTTTAAAAAATTGCCTCAGGAAGTCCCAAAGTCCCAAAGTTGTGCAATCAAAATAAACATATGCAAACAAAAAATCTTTAATTGAACATATTTCCTGAATATAGGGCAGTAGACTATGCTGTCATTCAAAAGAGGGAGTACATAGCAATTTCAGACATTCATCATGTATCCTCACCACATTTTCATACTAGTACATCATAATCTATATGAATAGAGAGCAACTGATTGAAAAGAAAAGTCTGTATTTTCCCCAAGGTTTGGATAGTTGGTATTTTTTTAACAGAGAGGAAGGGAAAGGGATATAGAGATAGAAACATCAATGAGGAGAGAGAGTCATTGATCAACTGCCTCCTGCACACCCCACACTGGGGATCGAGCCCACAATTTGGGAATGTGCCCCGACCAGGAATCAAACAGTGACCTCCTGGTTCATAGATTGCTTAGCCAAAAGATACAGCAGCTATATATATAATCCTCACCTGGATATATATTTTTTACTGATTTTAGAGAGAGAGGAACAGAGAGGGAAAAAGAGAAAGAGACATTGATGTGAGAAACTTTAGTCAGTTGCCTCCCGCACAATCCCTAAAAGGGGATCGAACCTGAATCCTGGTATGCCCCCTGACCAGGAATTGAGACCCGTGATTTTCAGAGTAAGTAACACTCTAACCATGACTTTCAGAGTAAGTAATAACACTCTAACCAGCCAGGGCACAGTGACCATATTTTTATTTTCATTAATTTTAATTCACTTTTTTGGGCCCATTTGTGAAATGCTATGAATATATTAATGAACTAAAACCCATTAATTACTATTTAATTGCTAAATCCATTAAAAAACAGTCTGGCCAAATGCCATTACTTAGAAGGCAAAACGAATAGATATTTCTTAAGCAATATTTTTATTCCTTTTCCTCTTCAAACAATAAAATACCTTTTAGTTTCCATATTCCACCATGAAGAAATCATTTGTCTTGAACTGAAAGCTCACAATAATGTTCTTATGTGCTAACCATTAACACATCAGGAAGTGACCAAGGTTATGGTGATGTTTTAGCACTTTTGCATATTTAACAGTTAAACTTGTGAAACTCATTCTTTTAACAGTCACATTCATTTTTTATGACAATAACCTTACTTTGAATGCAAAATAAACATTGATAGTGGAGAATTTTAAGAGGTTTTGAAATTCCAGAAATCACAGGTTTTTCATTTAAAAGCATCATGTACCATTGGGGTCTCAAACCAATATTTTATTAAGCAAATAAATTGTGTGTGTGCTCATGTAGGTCAGGTCTACAAAGGAGCTATCCCCAGGTTTCCAGCTACCTACTAGAGCAATGATGGCGAACCTTTTGAGCTCGGCGTGTCAGCACTTTGAAAAAACCCTAACTTAACTCTGGTGCCGTGTCACATATAGAAATTTTTTGATATTTGCAACCATAGTAAAACAAAGACTTATATTTTTGGTATTTATTTTATATATTTAAATGCCATTTAACAAAGAAAAATCAACCAAAAAAATGAGTTCAGAGGTGACACGCGTGTCATAGGTTCGCCATCACTGTACTAGAGCTTTGGACAAATTACTTAATCCTTCCAAGCTACCTCATCTGTAAAAGAAGATGCTAAGCTCTGTCTCAAGGTGTTTTTTGTGAAAAGGACTTGAGGTGCTGCCATAGGGCTCTGCAGAGCCAGTGCCCTGCACTGAGTATAATAGCCAATGGAGACTACCCTTCTCTCTTGTTTTGCTGCAATATCCAATGCCAAAGGACAGACATGCTACTGTGCAACCCTTCCTTTTGTCAGGCGGAACTAGCCGTGGTCTTCCCAGAATTTCCTCCTGAAGGGGGTTGGCTAGTGCCAGAGAGCTGGTCTTCATTCTAAGACCAATGGTAAGCAAACTGAGAAGTATTTTGGTTCAACTACAGCTGCGTTAACTACAGACATTAATAGTACTCTTAGAGTAGATTAAATATATTAGTCAATTAAGCAAATATTATGTGTATATGAGCACACACACACTTTGTTTGCTTAATATAATATTGGATTGAGACTCCAACAGTGCGTGATGCTTATAAATGAAAAGTGCCAATCAAATATATTTTACAAAGGCAGCAGGTAATTCCAGAAATGCAGGTCAGTTGTCTCTTGCACTTTTCTCTTTATCTCAATTCCTGTTGTGCTCATGAAGGCCCATATATTGCCTGCAGGTCCATATGGCAGAGGGGTTAAGAGGAGACTTCCTAGGCCTGAATCCCAGCTCTGCCAAGTCACCTGTGTGACTCTATGTGATCTCTAGTGCCTCAGTTTCTGCATCTGTAAAATGGGGTCAAATGGGTTAACACTGTTAAAGTACTTGGACAAGTACATAAGATGTGTACTGGAACGGACTCAGCCCAGAGATGGCACCGTCGGGATCTGCCAGTAAACCTTGGTACGCTCACCCTTCTCTTCCTAGTTATATCTTTACTGTCTTGTCAGTTCTTCACAAATTTATTGTTTCTTTGTCCAAAAGATCTCAAAGCTCCCTGCTCTGGTCACTTCTTAGTGTCTTCATTCTCTTGTGAAGGCTCCCACACACATGTAAAAATTTAATTAAAAAATGTGTGTGCTTTTCTCCCGTTAATCTGTCGCTTTAATTTTCAGGTCAGCCAGGGACCCTAAGAGGATCGAGGAAAACTCTTTCCTCCCCCACAGCTGTTTCTGTGGGCTACCAACAGTGTGGGCTTTTACTAACTTATTAACTTAATATTGCTATTTTTAAATGCTCATGAGTTGAGGTTTATTATGTTTACTAGACTGCAGGTAGGAGCTGTGTCTGGCAGGCAGTAAAAAATTATCTTTTTATTCCTAAAACTAAGAAAGGATCTAATTATGCACACATGTTTGTTTATTTGTTTGTTTGTTTATAAATAGGCTAGGAACTAATTTTTGAATAATTTCAGATATGTCCTCTTTTTACTTTCAGAACAGCCCATGACCAGTTTACATGCATTCTGCTGCCCTCTGTTCAATCTCCCCTCCTCCACGCCCAGCCCAGCCCAGCCCAGCCCAGCCCAGCCCAGCCCAGCCTGGGTTAGCATAAGGGGAAGCTGGCAACATTCAAAGTTGGTTCACACTCTACCGAGCAAGCCTGTTGATTTTGCAATATATCTATTGACCCTCAGCCCAGCCAATAGCCAGAGGCAAAAGTTTTTGTGTGTGAAAAGCATCAACCATGTGCGGGCAGCTGTGCCAGAGTCCATGGGCTGTTCTTTGCCCTTCCACCCATGTCTGCCTTAAGCAATTGCCCCTGAGCCTTGACAACACGCCCTCCAGTAAAGAGGGGTGCCACCCTTGTGCTGCTTTTTCAGTGGCCCCCTTCTTCCCCATCCTGAGCCCCTGTCCCCATACTTGGATATCACAGAAATCTCTCTGCAACTGCCACTTCCTATCTTTCAATTGCTGTCCAGAGAGACACCCCCAGTCTAGACATCTAACCCAGCTGCCTATTTGTGATTTTCTGGATGACAGCAAGCATACAGACCATTGGCGCTGACTCAGAGGTCCCTGCTACATTTGGGAATGAACAATATGTTAAGGGAGCTTTACACATCTTCCATAATGCAGTGAGTGATATTTAAGTCTGTAATCATGAACTTGGGCTGTTAGTTGTTTATTTTTTGCCCTGATCAGTACCAAAATGGTAGCGATAGTTAACATTTTCAGAGCACTGACTGAGCATCATCCATAGGACAAGACCATCTTTTCACATGGAAGTCTTATTTGGATTCTAGAAAAGACTCTGATGTCACATGATTTGAAAATATGGACACTGCTTGAGTAGCAATATTATTCTGCATGCTAAGCAGAAGAAACAGGCTCACTTATGTATGGAAGAGTTAAGCTAGAAAGAGAGTTGATTAAATACCTTTATTTGTGTCTGTTCCTTTTGAAAACCAGAATAAGATGATGGATAAAAAATAAAGTAAGGAATAAAAAATGTATCAACCCAAAGATAAGGAAAACAGGTGAGAAGACTAAAACAGATAAAAAGTGCCAATTAACTTTTGGAAGATGGATGGCAATCGGAAGCTTTGTTATTGCTTTGGCACATTTTCTTTGTTCCAACAAAAGGTAAGATATAAAAAAAGAAAATAGAAAAT